GGCAGATTTATATCCTTAGGAGTTTAAGATTCCAAAGAGACCGTTCCTAAAAAGTATTTGAGTCTATCTCAAAAAACTTATATAAAAAAAATTTTGGAGCGTTTTCGCATGAATAGTTGCAAATCCATGGATACTCCTATAGCGAGAGGTGAAACTTTAAGCCTTGAAATGTGTCCCAAGACTGAAAATGAAAAGGAAGACATGTCTCGAGTTCCATATTCAAGTGCTGTCGGGAGCTTGATGTACGCTATAATGTGTACTCTCCCAGACATTTGTTATGCTGCAGGTCTGGTTAGCAGGTATCAATCCAATCTTGGAAGAGATCATTGGAAAGCTGTGAAGAGAATTTTCAGATACCTGAAGGGAACTACAGATTATTCACTATGTTATAGTGGAAATGATTTATACTTAAGAGGATATACATATGCTGATTGGGCTGGTGACCGGAATGATAGAAAATCAACATCCGGTTATGCCTTCTTACTTAATGTGGTGCTATATCATGGAAAAGTAAGAAACAAACCTGTACATCCCTTTCAACGATGGAAGCTGAGTTCGTGGCTTGTGCATCTGTAGTACAAGAAGCTGTTTGGTTGAATTCTTTGAGCATTTGGATATTACAAATAACTCTCAGAATCCCATGAATCTATATTGTGATAGTCAAGCGGCTATTGCATATACAAAAGATCCTAAGTATCACAGCAAGACCAAACACATTGACATCAAGTATAACTTTGTGAGAGACATGGTAGAAGTGGAAAGATAAATTTACAATACATTTCTATGCGAAGCATGATAGATGATCCTTTTACAAAGGCGATATCTAGAGACCTGTTTGAGAAACATGTTATGGCTCTAGGTTTGCGAAGGATACGAACATATTTATGTATTGTGAAATGACTTAAGTATTATAATATGCTCATCAAAATTTGACTCTTGAATTTATGCTTATATCTCGTATGCATGTGATGAATGTTTTGTTGATAAAGTGTGTCGAACAAGTCACGAGATTGGCTCTCTCACACGAGCAATCGCCTCTTACGTTAAGAATCGTGAAGAGATAAGACCTTATAGAACCTTAGATAATGCGAGTTTATATTTACTTGTAGAGGTCGGTCTTGACAACTAATCAGACTTACGAATTTCACTATTCGATTATGACTTGTTTTGTAAGCCAGATGCAAGTTTCTCTAAGAAGATGATTTGAGGATTATTGAAGTGAGAAACTCGGGTTAGACATTTGGAGGTGTCTAGACCAAGATCTGTACGGTGTTGAATGATTAAAAAAATAAGACACGCGCGCCAATATAAGGTGAGAACACCGTAACATGTGTTTCATAACACGTGTGCTATCGACCATGGGATAATGGAAGAATGAATTCCTGCTTCTTCATTGTGTGAGATCCCCAAGAAGTTACATTAACTTTTATTAGAATACCCTTTGACCTTTTACTATTTCTTGAAGTGCCAATCAGTGTTGCTACTTTAGCATGTTACTAATAGCCATGAGTGATTCGGCAATGCAGTGCATGTCTAGAAAAGCAGTTGATTTGGAATGAAAAGATTCGAGTAGAAAGGGAAGGCAAATAAATAATTTTTTTTGTAATTTAACTTGTATTCATAGGTCGACCGTCACACTTACCATGAGGGTATCAAATGTAATTATGAATATAAAGTTAAACATGAACTCGAGTTCACCTCTTTTGAGGATGAGTGATTAAATAACTAGCTACTGGAGTAGCAGGTGATGTCTGGGGCATAGCGAGTAATAAGATCCTCATGATAGTAGTGAATCCTTTCTGAATGTGATCGGATTTATACATAGAGCTTTAGAATAACCTTAATAAGTTTGAAACATATTATAGCTCTTGATGCTCGCAGGTCGCACGAACTACTTGTTTGTATGAATTAAGTGTGTTATTTAATCATGATACTGGTTTGAGTTCCAGCCCATCATGAGCGAAGTTGGAGATGTTGGATATTGGATCCGGGTATCGGGTCGCTCCATGAGGGCTGGCCCAATCCATTTGAAAAAGAAAGAATTTTAGAAGAGATAGGGTTTAAAATAACCTCTTTAAAGAGAGGTTACTACACGTTTAAGTGTAGTGGGACTCTTCAAAGAGGTTACTACACGTTTAAGTGTAGTGGGAGCAGTTTTTCCATAACTGCTATCTTCCCTCTCCATATAAACATACGCTTTCTTCTTTTCTTTTCTGAAAGACAATAGAGATAAAAAGTAAGAGTGGGATCAAAAATCTCTTCCCAACCAACACAAGAAGACATTTAGTTCGTGAAATTCTAACTTTGTTTCCAAGAGATCCAAAGTTCGACTTGGGGCAATTCTTTTGGTGGTGAGTTCAACAATTCTTCCGCTGCGTTGATAGGTACGCTAATGTTGTTTTCACCCCGCGATTATTTTCATTACAGTTTGAACTTCTTTCAAAGACAAAATCAAAGGAAGGTTTTTTTTTTTTTATACGCGAAGGACAATGGAGGAAGAATTGCTCCATCCTAAATTTCCTTGAAACAAGAGCAATTGCTCTTGTATAGTTGTACTGCAAAAGAAAGAGAAAAAAAACCTATACTTACAAGTTACATGGGTTTCATATCCTCTGCATCATAACATCAAGAAAAGAAATTTGGGTATCCAGGAAATGCAAGTGGTACGGTATTGATTGTGCTATAGCGTACGTGAAGTTTGCTATTGGTGATTGAATAGCACTGTTGAATGGAGTTGAGTAAAGGATTTCGTGAATGGAGTGAAAATATTTTCTTCGTGCTTTCTGAAAGAGACGAAGGGGAGAATTTTGTTGGCGAAGAGAGTATGGAATAGGAATAGATGTTAGAGAAGGCGATGGAATCCGGCAGGACCGTAGGTGGGGGAGAAATTTCTGTGAAATTAAATGTTATCTTTTTGGCTTAAAACTCTTTTTTAATAATTATTTGCGCCCAAAGGACAGATGTCTTTAGTTAATTTGTTACTTTGCCACATTAGCATCGAGTAGACTACACACACTTCTTTTTTGGATTGATTGTCAGTAAAGGGTTCAATAGGAACAGTTTTGACACACTTTAAGTGTTTAATAAGGAACACTTTTATATGTATTTGGTTTATTTTTACTAACCCTCTTATAAATAATAAAAAAATTTTTGAAGCTCGAAAGGGTTTGAATTATAAAAAGTAACAAAAAAATTGCGTTTCGAAGGATTATCAAAGTCGTCACCTAACATTGGTTTCGGTGTGCTAGGTCACCGTTTTTAAAATAATAATTACCCTTCAAAACACATTTGACTCTTAAACCAATTTGCACCAGAGATTCAGGTAAGGGGATTCATTTGACTCGGGGAGAAGGTGTTAGGCATTCCCCAAGTCCCGTAAAAATCACGGTTACGTACATGATCAAGTTGGCTTTTAAAATTTTTCAAATTGAGGTTAAAACGTACAAAAGGCAAAAATAAACACAGAAAAGGTTCGAGGTTGTCCCCACCTAATAAAATAAAAATAAAAATAAAAGTACTAAAGTTCTATACTATGCTAAGCTAATGCTCCATCAATGATGCCTCGGGCTCCGTTTACATTCACTATGGGGCATACCCAGGATAAAAATATAAAAATATATATACAAACTCTTCAGGGCATTCCCCGGATAAACCAATTAACTAATGGGGCGACCTCTCACCTCAAAAAGAAATAAGTAAATTTCCTAATCGTACCCATGTGTCGACGGCCTAAACATGCACCTAGCGAATCAACTCGAAAAAACAAAACAAATCACCTTAAACGTAAATCTCATTAATTTTTATCACCCACGGCCCACTTCTGTTTAAATGAGTTTAAACCAAATTCTTCTCAAATGTAAAATTTAAATCCTTATCAAATACTTTCAATTCCAATTTTTTAAAACTTATACTTCTCAAGTGTAAAATTAAATTGAATAAACTAAACTCCTATCCCTCATTCTCAAACCAACAAGTCACTGCCAACCATAGAGAATAACGAGCACAAAAGAAATAAGAACCAGATAGCAAATCAAGTTTAAATCCATTTTGACATTGAATAACATAGAGGATAACGAATCGGACAACCAAGCAACCATTAATTCATTTCAAGCAGAGAGTGAGATAGAAGAGATGGACCTTGAATCTCCGGCATACGAACTTGAACAGGGAAGGGAAAACAGCAACAAAAATTACTCCTCGAACATCGAACCTCCGACGGCGATCGGCGACGGTCTCAAAAAATCAACTGAGCAGCAGTGACTAATAGCAAGAACAAACGAATTTGACCGAATAGAGTTCTAAAATCGAGGGGCAAATCCAGCCACAGAAACAACAACAAAGCAGCGAGATCAACTTCAAACCTTTTTTGCAAATCAGAAACGAGTACTTAGAGCTCAAAAAAAAAATCCTATTTCTTCTTGTTTTCCAGAAGCTTTGTTTCTAAATTTCAGAAATTCTAATTTCGTCTATAATGCATCAAATGTGAGAGGGTGACTGAGTATTGTCTGTGGAGATTGAGGTGAGAGGAGAGAAGAAAGCGGGGGGACGGCGCAGTTCTGCTGTTTCAAGACAGAAGAAGGAGCAGCTCGGTGGTGCAGCTGATCGCTTAGGGTGGAGGTGGGCGGCTGATTTTTTTGTAGTAAGGGAGATGGCCGGCGGCTCTTAGCTTAGGAGGTGTGGAAGGGTGGTGTGACAATCGCTTGATAGTGACCTCCTTAAAAACAAATTGTGTTTTATCCTCTGGAACTATTTTGGGTTAAACATTAGTTATGACATAATCAAAAGAAAATGTTTATTTGATTATTTAAAGAGCGAAGATGTTACATAAGCTGGGATAAAGAGAGTACAATTTAGGTAGCTTTGGCACAAAAATATCAGAAAGTCAAAAGATAATCATCTCGCTCATCATTTTCTGATATAATGAGTTTGAAATCAAAATTTGCCATCTCTTCAATTTGCATTTCCTTAATTCTCATAGCAGATTCCTCAGTTGTTCTATTATCACCTTCCGTAGAATATTTGCAGCAACAGTGCACGTCAAGAAACTTTAGTGAATTCAAACACCCAAAACTAGAAGGTATCTCTACATTTCTACAATAACTCAAACATATTTGCTGGAGGCTCGGGAAAGCATTAGCTGAAACATTCCATTCAATATCATCCATGAGAAAGATTTTCAACACTTTAAGCTTAGGAAATTCTCCGTCATCAACGTCCCATTTGCTCGTATAAAAGAAGCAGCTGTATATATTAAATATTTCGAGATTGGGTAGCTCTCCAATAGTCGAAAAACTTCTCAAAGGATCACTAAACGGGAAAAGAAGCAGTTCTAATCTTCTTAGACTTGATGGAAATCCAATTGCTCGTCGCAAAGGTGCACGTTGTGTATCAATCTTGAACGAAAGTGATTCTAGTCGATCTAAAGACTGAAAAATTGGTTCGCAAAACCTACTATCGTCTGAATCATAGGCATTTTCATCATCATCATCCGAATCATAGTCCAAATCACCAATCGTGCATTTCAAATTTACAACATTAGATAGTCCATTAGCGATAATAGGCATATCACGAGAAAGATAAATTAGAAATCCGTAACAATTTCTTAATTTTTCTAATTGTGAAATTTCATCAAAGTCTGGAAACCATCCGTAAACTTCCAAATGTCTCAAGTTAACAAGATCCCATATGGTGTATGGTAACTTCGTGCAAACCTCGATAGGATTAGAATGGATAATCATTGTCTCTAGATTGACAAGACAACTTATATCTAATGGAATTTCCTCAAAATCACCACTTATCTCCAGGTACCTTAAACAAATCAAGAACACAATTCTATATGGAAATGAATTGCCAACATTGACTTTCTCCAAGTCCAATACAGTTAGTAATTTGAAAGCTTCGAAGGAGTCTTGAAAGAGCTTGGTAGGGTTTATACAAGTATAGTAAGTGAAGCGCAACGAATGAATACCTTCACACTTCATAAAATCATTTGAGCGATCAACAACAAGTCGAGAAGGCATATCGGTTGCAACTTGAGGTTGATCATAATCATACGTTTGAGATCTGCATGTACAAGAACAACAAAAATATGATACTAAGCATGAAAGATTCTGAAAGAAAAGAAGCAACAAGACCAAAAAGAGCTATTTCCTAACCTATTTGACTGAGCACAGAGTTTAAGAAAGAAATTGAGACTTTTAAAACTTATAGTTCTAAACAAACTATAACATTTGTGTGGCTATAATTCTTTGAAAACTTGTGGTGTTAAACATGCCAGAGTGTTTATGTACGTGGCTATAAAAACTTCTTCTTGAGGGTAGAATTGGAAGTTTAAGTTAAATTGTTTCCAAATTTAGAAAGGGGTCATTCTTTTTGTAACTGACTAAAAAAGAAATAAGTTCACATACACTGGAACAGAGAGTATGTAGTATTTCTTACCCGCGAAACCGTCGTAAATGAATTTCTTCTGCAGCTTTTACCATGCAAAATTGATGTAAAAGATCATGAACACCAACGAGTTGGGGTCTACGCAAGTAATAACTTGTTTTTGCAAACATGACTAGGTTTCTCCCAACAAGATCCATCAAGTAATCAGTTGCAACATCATCCATGCTCTTCAACTCATTATATGGTATAAATCCTTCACATATCCATAATTGTATCAGTTTATGTACTGGAAGTTGTGCATCCTCAGAAAATGTTCCAAAGTACAGAAAACATGGTCTCAAATGAAGTGGCAAATCTTCGTAACTCAATTCGATTATCTCCATTAACCATTTCACATCATGAAAAACATTTGTACTCAAATTAAGAGCGATTTCTTTCCAATAACCTTCTTCCTTTTCTCGTTTCGTGAGAAGTCCGGCTATCAAAACTATTGCAAGAGGTAATCCAGAACAATTTCTTGCCATTTCATTTCCTATCTCTTCAAGCTCATGGGGACAACGTTCCTGATCCTCAAATACTATTTTCTGCAATAGCTCCCAACTTTCATCTTCTGTAAGATTTCGAAGATGATGAGGATTAGTTGAGACATAGGAAGCTACTTCGTCGAGCCTAGTAATCAAAACAAGCCTACTTCCCTTGTTATCATCGGGGAAAATTGTACGTAAATCATTCCATGCATCAATACTCCACAAATCATCTACCACAATGAGATAACGGTTTCCTTTCAAAAAATTACGTAGCTCATCAGCTAATTCAGTATGATCATTTTCTTTTTTTGCAGTATTCAGAATACCGAGTTCTCTCCAAAACCCTAATAATACCTCTTTCCGGTCATATACTTGTGAAATACAGCACCATGAACGGACATCGTAATGCTGGATTACTGTTTCATGAGAATATAGTTTTGTAGCTAAAGTCGTCTTGCCCAACCCGGGCATTCCGACTATAGGTACAATGTCTAATTCTTTTGGTCCTCCTAAAAGTCGGTTGAGGAGCGTTTCCGCTTCGTCCTCATATCCTACAATTACTGGTGGTGCGGTATACCCTAGTTCCATGTTCGTGATTGATGGTTTTCAAGCAAAAGATTATAAGAAGAAAGGAAGGATAAAAATTAAGTGGTAAAATTGAAGGGTATAAGGAAGTGATGTTGATGTATATGGTGATTCGTTGGTTTCAAGCAAAGAAATGAAGAAATAAAAGGAGCTCAAATTAAGGGGTAGTAAATGTGATTCAAGTGAAGGTTGACGTATCAATGGTGATTGGTGCGGTAGTTTAAATCAAAGAAAGGAATTTATAGAAAGCCATCTACAAGCATTAGTTGCGATTAAACTATTACCATAAGCACATGTAAAGGCGGACCTAAGATTTTAACACGATGGGGGCACCAGTACTCTGCTCAACCAGTATTCCTTAAAGGCTTTTGGTACCAGATTATTTAAATTAAACATTTTCAATGTATACGGGCACACATATATATATATATATACAAAATTTCTGCCTAAGTTTACGGGATCTGATGACTCCTCATTGTTACAATTAGGTCCGCCTCTGAGCACATGATCTATACCAAGGAGCAGCATAAAAAAAGTAATAGTGCTGAGGCATACACCCAGTTGCCACTTATTATATATATTTATCATATGTCTTCTTCTTCTTCTTCGTTTATTATCTTATTTTTTTCGGTTACATGATCTATTGATAGTAGGTTGTGATGATACCAATTCAATAGTCTCCCGTTTGGGACTATTTTTTTTTAATTTTAAAATCTTGACTTTGTTCAAAGGCTCTCATTCGTATTTATCTTCAAAGTCTCCCATCATTTTTCATTTAAAATCTTGTCGTTGTTCAAAGAATTCCTCAACTTAAAAGACAAGTGGATAGAAATCTGGATCTCGATATGTACGGTGGATTGAATATATAGTTGCTTTCAGTCCTTTTTAACTACGTCGATGAAAAGATATACTTCAGTAGTAAATCAATTTTCTTTAATTAAGAGCTAAATTGATTTTCATCCATCATCAATGCTCGAACATTTAATAATATTGATCACATGCTTGCTTCCTGGAAAAAAAATTCACTAATTATCAAGTTAAAGAGTTGTTGTGTAATTGTTGGATATTATTACACTTAAATCACGGATTCAAAATTTCATATGCAAAAATATTGATATAATAAAGTTATAACCAACTTTCATGTCAAGCCAATTTGCAAGCGTTTACTTGATTAAAAATTAAAAGAAATCCTCCCTTCATGGCCTTTTGACCAAATAATTATTTATTGAGTTAATGTTTAGTTGTTAGACATTACTACCTTAATCCACGGAACCACAAAATATAATCAGCTTTCCATGTCAATCCAACTTGGCAAGCGTTTACTTTTACTTTTGTTGACTTGTCCATAGATTATACTACTATTAGACAACCTGCATTTTAAATCAAATATTTTTCCTTTGGATATTTGAAATTCTTCACTAATACCAAGTTGCATAATATTCTCATCACATAGGTGTATTAATTGTTTATAGTTTTGAAAAAGAGCAAAAATAGCCTAGTTGCGGCCTAACGTGCATCGACTTTTCAAGCTGGCTATTAGACTTAAGAATTTTTCATTTTAACACTTTTATGTGATCAAAACACACATTTTAAACATCTTCATCAATGCGTGTTTTTCAATCACATTGTTATATTACCATTATCAATGTTCATCATCATTTATTTTAATTTAAAAAAATATAAAATTACAATTCAATTCATCTCATTTAAATATTTGAGAAATATTTTCTTTATGAACTCGTTTTTCTCCAATTGAAGGAAAATGTATTCTTTATCAAGAGAAGGGAAAATATTTTCCAAACTCTTTTTCAACCTTCCCCATCTCCACCAACCCCCACCACCCCACCCACCTCCCCCACCCCCATCCCCACCTCAACCCCGCTCTCCCCCACCCACCCACCCACCACCCATCCCCACCCCTACCCTGACCCCCATTCTAAATATATAGAAATATTATTTAGAGTACTTTCTTTTCTTGATATAGAAAAAAATAATTTCTTTCATTAATTCAACAAAATGAATATTTTCTTTAATGACGTAGAAAAGGTATTTTCTTTCATTTCAACAAAATGAGTACTTTCTAATGTGGGTGGGGGTTTGGGGGGTGGGGGTGGAAGGAGGTGGGTAGGAAGTTCTAGTTTTACTATTTTATTATTATTCTGATCTTTGTTAGTATTATAAGATGAATAACTATCAAATAAAGTTATAAATCTAAATTGAGGAAAGAAATCATTAAGCATGAATTGACATTTATTCTAAAATATAAGATAATTTTTATATATACTTGTTTAAAAGTTGAGAATATTGCAAAGATTTGGGTCAGTTTGGGTGGGTTGAGTTAATCTTGACCCAACCCATCTTAACCCAAGTGAACTTTGGGCAGGATTGGGCAATGACCCATTTAATAAGTCAACCCATCTTAACTAGTCCAAATACAGCCCAAACAGCCATTTGCCGCCCCTAATTTTCACTATTAAAAGATTCCCTCACTTGAAATCACTCAGAGTCATAAAATTACCACCGGACCACCACTATCAAAACATCAGCAGTAATTGCACCATCCTAAACTACCATTGACTGAACTCAAGGGCGGATTTATAGACAAATATATGCACGTGAACTCATGGTTTCTCCGCCTAACTAGGTATTTTGTGTACATGTTTTTAGAATTGGTCTAATATTATCTGCTGACACCCATGCTCCAAAGAGGCTAAATGACGCATTTGGTTGAATGCTGAGTTATTTACCTAGAGGAGCAGAGATCAAATCCCACTTACTACTTTTTTTTCTCCTTTCTTTAGTAATATACCCATACTATAAAAATCCTAGATCCGCCTCTGACTTAATCCCTCCTAATTTTCAAGCTTTCATTTTTCATAAACAAAAAACACGTAATCAGGTGATACTCTATCAAGAAATTTTATTTTGTGTCTCACATTCACGTCATACTTATGCGAGGCCCTTAAATACTTGACAAGTGGATTCATAGGTCCCATTTGTTTACTTTGAAGATAAAACTAAAAAAGGCAATTTAAAAATCATTTAATATGTCTAACTAAAGATAAAAGTAAGTAATAACTCAAAATGGTAAAAAAATATATGCATTTAAAAAGATAATAACCTTTACTTCCGTTCAGCAGCACACATGAATTTTCCTTTACTTGTGTTGAAGAAGAAAAGCAAAATAACCTTCTGCTGCTTTTCCTTCCTAAGCTAAAAGATATATTTGAGTTGGAAAATATGAACGCCAAATCGAGACGGAACGCCAAGTCGAGACAGAACTTGAAAAAATATGCTAACTTATATTTTATTCTGCTAAAACATATATTTGAATTGGAAAATATGCTAACTTATAATATTCTTTGGATATGAAAACAGAACTCCGTTGAATAACTTTTTTTGAAAATACTTTTTGAGCATATCTCGATTGTGCGTGTCATTCTTCCGCAAGGACTTTGCTAATTTTTTTATGTATCGTTCCAATTTTATCGGATGTCTCTGAAGGAACAAACTTTGTTTAACAATAATCTCCAAATCAGTTGACAACAGCTTGAAAAAAATCATCTTGTTGTGCTTAATTGTAAGTAATATGTCAAAAAGTAGGAAAAGTTATTATTGCTTGTTTACTCGTTAGCCTTCTCACTTTACCACTGGGAACAATAATACGACTCATTGAAATTAAGGCTGAAGTTGTTGGTTGTATGAACAACTTGTACCAAAGTGTTGAAAACTTCAGTGAGGAAGATTTGTTCATAAAACAATGCAAAACCATGCTATCAAATCCAAAAAATCCCTATCCAAAGTATTGCATAAGGTAAAGAATGTACATAGATGATTCCGTCTTCGAGAAGTAGTATGAGTGTGTTCAGATTGCTCAAAGCAAAGCAACTAATTCTCTGAACCATTGAAATAAATATTTCTTTCGGTGAAGTATGAACTTTGGTTCTCAATGCAACCTCCGAACTGGTTAGCAGAAGCCTGAGTCAACAGTTGTGTAAAGCTAGTATTTGAACCTTCATATAACTGCATCAATGAATTTAAAGGAAAAGAAAACAAATCAATATCAATAAATAAATTAAAATATAAAGACCACCAGCAAACTAAGAAAATTAAAATTTAATTGTTTAAAGATTGAACCTCAAGATTTGAGTTCAAGGATGGTTGGTCATGTTGTGACATTGCTCTAGTTTTTGAAGTCTTTTGAGGTGCCCTCTATTTTTTTTGCTCAAGTTTTGGTTTCAATCTTCCATATCCATTTTCTTTACCCTTCTTCTTAATTGGATAAAAAATACGATCATTCGTTCCTGAAGGACTAGTAGTTGTACTAAATTTGTGATAGTTCTTATGAGTACCTTCTGCATATAACTCACTTTGGAGTTTAGTAATCTCAACCCTTGCTTGATACAAAAACTTTCTAGCAATTTTTCGGACTCGGCATCGTTTGCAGCTAAAGTCATAACAGCAAATGATTCTTTCATCAAACCATTTAAGGGAATGGCCATAGATGAAGTTGGTGATTTCTTCCTATTGTTGTACTCATCAAATCCATTCCCTTGTTTAGCATTCTTTGTCCATCTTTTTAGAATATATTGTACAGGGATATAAGAAAAATCTAAGTCAAAGAATAAAACTTTTAATGCATGGCAACACAACCAACCCAAGATTCAAACATAAGATAACTACAACTTATGGAATTGTCAAATGAATTGAATTGGACAGTGTCAGTTTGTCCTCCTTCCCCTCTAAGAACTGTATATGTGTGACAAGTGCCATTACTTTCAAGTTTGATCACTTTCTTAGACGTTCCTTGCAAAAATTCATGTTGAAATCTTGTAAATATGGTTCTTGTGTAGATACTTGCAGCATGCTTTATTATCCCACAATCTTCTATAGCAAGTTTAGGTGTTCCTCGACATTTAAAATCCTCTGTCGCCTCAATATCACGCATTTCAGCTGCCCATTACTCATAATGATTAACAAATTCAGTTAAATTCATCGTCTTGCAAGCCATTTCAGTAAAACCCTATTAGTGCTCTCACTCCTCTGAGTTGACTTAATGTCTGCAGAGAAAATATAACGACTAAATGCGGGGCACCACTTTTCCCTCAAATCATATACTCTTTGAAGCCAACTATTGCTCTCACATTCCCATTCTTCAGTCATTTCTTTCCATACTGACTCAAACTCCGACTCTGATTTGCACCTCCATAAGAGCTTATCAAAATACTTTTCTCT